CGCTGCGACGACGAGAGTGAGCTCTTTGAGTGGCACTGCCGTGATGCCACTGCGGAGTTGCCTGCTCAGGGTGTTGGCATGTCGTTGCCATATCTTCGCTGCTTGCTGACTTCTGTGTTGTTATGGCAGAAGCCGGGCAAGCTCCAGTGAATCCTGGTGAACGGGCCTGTGAGGTACTATGAGTACCTCATGAGCAAGGCCGACCTGTCTGCAGTGGCAAATTTGACGGCTGAAGAAATTAGGCAGAAGTTTGCGGGCGTCCGCAAAGCAAGTGCCACGGATGCTGTGGACCTGGCCTTGGAGCACGACCCAGAGCAAGAGGACGGGTACGAGGTACTGGCCGCTGCTGCTGCGGGTGTCGCAGCAGCAGGCGAGGTGCCTGAGTCCGATCCGGAGCTCTTGCAGTTGAACATGCCCAAGGAAAGCAGCAGAGCCATCGTCGTGAATGGCCGGAGCTGCCAAGTGTATTTTGACAATTACACCCATGCCTCCGGCCAGTTGCGAGCTTTTGTGCAGTGTGACAGACATGTCAACTGCAGGTTGTATGTCTTTGTGCACAAGGTGCGTGGCAAGGGTCGTGCTGTTGCCTACCTGCAGCGTTGGTTGCAGGAGGCCTCAGCTTATCCTGGTCCAGAAGGTCACGAGCACAAACAATACAAACCACCAGACACTGATGTAGATGCCCTCTTGTTAGCCCAGGCTGTTGCTCAGTAGGCAGGCACGGAACAGTGACGAGTCATCGACTCACGAGGTCATGCTGCTGGCACAAACATGGTTTCGTCGCCGCCTGTAGTGTTTTGAGATTTGAGATGATGGCGTGTGATGGTGTGGCAAAGGCACAAACAATACAAACCACCAGACACTGAAGTAGATGCCCTCTTGTTAGTCCAGGCTGTTGCTCAGTAGGCAGGCACGGAACAGTGACGAGTCACGACTCACGAGGTCATGCTGCTGGCACAAATATGGTTTCGTCGCCGCCTGTAGTGTTCTGAGATTTGAGATGATGGTGTGTGATGGCGTGGTTTAGCACTTTGATTTTTTTCAAATGATGATGATGATGATGATGATGATGATGTGTGTGATGGTGCGGTTTAGTATTCTGAGATTTGAGAGTGATGGTGCGGTTGAGTGATTAGTGTTCTGAGGTTTGAGAGTGATGGTGCGGTTTAGTGTTCTGAGATTTGAGATGATGATGTGTGATGGTGGGTTTAGTGTTCTGAGGTTTGAGATGATGATGTGTGGTGGTGCAGTTTCCAGGACCCAATTAATTTATGCATCAAGTCGTGACACTGTACCTTGATGCCGCAGATTTTTGGCTTTAGTGAGCCTTGGCCTTGGGCGGTTGATGGCCGCACCCTGGTGGAACTACTGGCCTGCTGTGGTCTTTGAGGCCAGGTGGGAGTCCGGCAAGGTTGTCAGAAAGGGTTTGTGTAGGCTTGTGTTTCAGATGCTCCTGCAACCCACACGACTGGCTCACCCCTACCACTGGGACGCCTTTGGCGACAGTGGGTGGGGCCGGGCGGCTGGCTCCTACCACTGCGACGCCTTTGGCGACAGTGGGTGGGGCGGCCAGCCAGGCGGCCACAACCATGTCCTGGAATCAGCAGGCTGTGTCTCTGCTCTTAGTCTCTCAGTTATGTTGTTGGTGTCGGTTGCGTGAACATGACATATGTGCTTGTGCAGGCGGCGGCGACGACGACCCGGCCCACCACCTGGATGCCAGAGCCGAAACGAGTGCCGGTGCCAGGGCGGTCGAGAACGAGGCCGCAGCCGATCCGGCCGATCCCACAAAGACCGGGACCGCGGCAGAGACCGCGGCAGAGTGGTGGTGACCACGGCGGCAGAGACCGTGGCAGTGGTGACACCGGCAACAAAGGCCGCGCGACCGGGGGCCGAGGCCATGGCAGTGACGACGGCAAAGGCCGCACCAGTGGTGACCGCGGCGACCGAGGCCACGGCAGTGATGACCACGGCGGCCCGGGCCGAGGCCGCGGCAGTAATGACCACGGTGGCCGTGACAAGCACGGTGGCAAGCACGGTGGCGACAAGCACGGTGGCGGCGGCGGTGGCGGGTGGGACAAGCACGGTGGCGATGGCGGGTGGGAGCAATCCAAGCCTGCTACCCACAGGCGTGATCGCGAAGACAATTCCAGGGGCTACAGCCTAGTCAGCAGCCGAGGCAGCGGAAGCCGGGGCAGAAAGGGCGGCAACAAGAACCAGAAGGGCCATGGCCGCCGTTCCCGTGAAGGGAAAAAGGCATGGTGGGATGCTAAGGCGGAGGAGGAGGAGGAGGAGGAGGAGGTGTTTGGGCCCTTCGGTCAGATCCCGGCCTTCAAGGTGAGTGAATTGGAGAGGAACCGCAAAGGGCGAGTCAGTGTGTGCCGTCCAGGTCCACCCAGATGGACTGGGATTGCACCTGCTGCACAACAGCGGGTGCCAGAGCAAGCAGCTCGAGATCGAGACCGGCCAAGAGCGGGACCGCACGTTCACTTGCAAAAAGTGTAACAAGCGGTTCTGGACCGAGTGGGACTTGGAGCAGCACGCTGGGCGATGCAGTTGGGCGGTGGCGGAGGACCAGGACCCGGTCGGGCCCCGGCCGGAGCTCCCGCCGACCGCCGGCCCGCACCGACCGCAAGGATTCCGCTGCCGACTCTGCCGAGCCACCCACTCGTCTCCGAGTGTATGCGGACCTTGTGGAGCTGGGGAAAAACCTGCTGCGATGAGGCCCGCGACAAAGCCGCGGCCAGCCGATCCACGTCGCGGGTCCGTTGGAGCAGTGTTTCACGAGCTAGCTGAGTGACTGAGTGTTGAACGATGTTGAAAAGCTTAAACAGGTAGGCTGTTGTACTCCATCATAGGACAATATAGGACACAAAGGTTCACACTCGGCCCGAGCCAGTAGCAGGACCCCCGCGAGGAGTTTGCAGGCGTTCCCGAGAGCCCCGTGAGTGTCGGCAAAGGCTTCAAAGAGGTTTTCAAAGGCTGTGCGAGGCTTTTACACACTTTCTAGGAAACACAGGACAACAAAGGCTGACACTCGGGCGATAATCGGCGAGATCCGGACACAGCACCGTTTGCAGTAAAAAAACACGAAATCGCAGGGATCGCTAGGCCAGCTGTGGTTTTTTCAGCCCGCCACGTTCAGTTCGCATCCGTTCCAGCCGAGTTCCCTCCGAGTTCCCTCCGAGTTCCCTCCGAGTTCCCGCCGAGTTCCCGCAGTTCCCGCCAAGGTCCCGCCAGTTCCCGCCAAGTTCCCGCCAGTTCCCGCCAAGGTCCCGCCAAGGTCCCGCCAGTTCCCGCCAAGTTCCCGCCAGTTCCCGCCAAGTTCCCGCCAAGTTCCCGCCAAGTTCCCGCCAGTTCCCGCCA